ACTCTTTTTTTTTTCTCTCGACATTCGTGTAAAATTTTTATAATTTAATATAATATGAATAGTCAAAACTCGTGTCTCATGTTGGAAACTGCAAAACACCAACATCTAGATCGAAATCTTGACTTCAAATGGAGGGATCTAAAGATGGGGTATGAATTTGAAGGACCTAATTTTCGAATCAAGTTTCAGTTGCTTCAGAAGCCTTTCTCAACTGGATAATTTGTTGAATTTGATGGCCAACCGAAGGAGGAAGAAATAACACTTTGATAACAACTCAAATTTTATTTATTGGTACAACATTCACTACCTCACAAGGTGCATCTGATTCCAGTTTTTGAATGGTATTGTCCAGAGATGGGAAACACAGGCAAAAACATATACTGAGTGCTTAATATTTGAAGTTACAAGAAGCAAACTTTCAAAAGTGAAATATTCTTTTCAAGTGACTCATATCTTGAAGGATATCGTTTCTTGGTGATCACTGAGGTTATGCAGAAACTTTGGAGGCGCCTGCACTGGCACTTGTACCAGAAGCTGCAGTAAAAGAAAGAAAACGATGAAGAATAAGAAGAAAATATGGGGTGGAGGATCAATTTCATGGTTAGAATCAAAATTTATTAAGATGAATGGAGGATCAATTTCATGGTTAGAATCAAAATTTATTAAGATGAATGCTTGTTGAATAAACGAACCGTTCCTTTCTTCCTCTTTTACTTCCTCTGCTGATTTCCAAACAATGTCTTTTAATCCAACAGTGAGATTCTTGTAGAACTGTAAATTCAAGGGAGAAAGTTGCAAATTAAAGGTAGTTATCCCAGTGAAAGTGAAGGAGATAATTTTCAACTGCCTAATCAATTCTGTTGAAAAAGTATTTATACCTTGTGAAATTCCAGTGTATCTCCCCCAGACTTACGAAGTTCCACCATGTAAAGTGAAGGAGCCACCTCAAATATCTGAACATGAAAGAGGTAGGGGCAAGAAAAGAAGTTGGGAGAGTAAGGATTATGAACACTTGGCCATGCTCAAACTACTTTTGACTATCGAAAACAAAAACTATGCCAATGAGAGAAGGAATGAGAGGGTCAAAGAGATGGTACCTCCGTTGCAATAGCTAAATGACCCTTGCGTCCAGTTTTCTCCCCAAGAAGCTTCATCTGAGTATAGGCAACAGGAGGTTGTATCAGATGTGGGAACAGAAAGTTCACTTTATCTCAAATTTATAGCATATGCATTACTGTAATTCTAGGCAACAAGCTTTAGACAAACAGTAACTTTCAAATGCTTATTACTGTGTGTCCAGTTTCACTGGCAAGAACTTTGTATCATAACAGTTCATTACTTAATGTATCATGTGAATAACAAGCACAGTATAGGAAATCCAGTTCAGTTAAGGTCCTTGATTATACAAAACTCAAATTGGTTTAATTGGAAGGTGGAAAATAATAGGAAAAGAAAAAATGGTGACAAATTTTACAGTCAGGAAGCACAAAGAATAATTTTATCAAAGAAAAACTTCAATTTTTTTCATCAGGATTTCTCAATATGGCGCACAAAGAGACAAAATGTAATTGTTGCTAAGAGATTGAACCTTGCTGTTATTTTTCTTTATGTCGAAACCCAAAGGTACTGCAGCTTCCTCAATTTTTGAGATGATCTCATTAACAGGAAATTTGGATGTAAATCTAGTTTCCCTTTTAACAAGTCCCTGCAACCAGAGAAAATGACAGCCACTTAAATTTCATGGTTATGTACAAAGATAATAAATGATATTAAAGATTATAATATTAACAGAAGCAACATATGGTGTTGGGATTGATATTGTTTGCATTTTGCTTTATCAGATATATCATCCTAACATTCTACCACACAGCACTCGGAGAAACCTTTCAGGCGTATGACAAAAAATATCAGTAATAACATAAATATAAATGATGCAATATAAAATTATGCTTTGGACTGCAAAAGAGAACTATATTGATTGACGCTACAGTTACAAACATAAACCAGCAGCAGAGATGCAACATGCAGGATTCTCAACTTTTCGGCATTTAATTTACCATATTGTACACGCAATGTTTGATACAAATATTAAACATACCATTTGCTTCTCAAACAAACTACCAAGGTTGAGACCCTGAGATGTAGAGATGAGTTCAAATGCATTCATAGTGACCGGTGCCACAGGCCCATCTTCTCGATTCTCCACGACAAGGTTATGGGAGACCTGCTCAACATACAACAAGATGTAACATTCTCTATAAATTATCATTCCAAATCAAGAAGGCCGCAAAAATTACAAGCAATATGTGAAAAACACAAATCTTACCCCTGAATCATTGAAGATGCCATCCACATCGGCAAGACTAACATCTGCTTGCTCAAAACTAGGTGGCTTATATCCTTTCTTAAACCAATCATTCTCAATAACCTCAGCAATTGTTATTCTCTGTTTTACATCACAAGCAATAAAGAGAAACAAATGTAATCAAAATGCAGCTTAAATAGAATATTAGGTCTGCAATCCTTTTTGCACAGTGAATTCTTATTAAAAAGAAGAAGAAGAAGAAGAAGAAGAAGAAGAAGAAAAGAAGTAACCAGAGTAGGGGGAAATATTTAAATAGGAAATATTAAGGCACCTACTTTTAAGGGATTAGGTTCCAGGATTCTCAAGATTAGTTTCTTTGCACTGGAGGAGAACCATGGAGGACAAGTGAAGTCAGCCTTAAATATCTGCAATCACTCAGGAATCTCATCAGCAAACTTGGAATATATATATATATATATATATATAGATATATATTTGGTAGAAAAACTTGGAACATTTTGATTGTGGAAGACCCAAGGGACTGAAACTTCTTATAATGTAAAACCAATATACAAGAGAAGGCCTAAATGCCAAAGCAAATCCTCTTCTCTCTCATGAGCAACCATAATTAACCACTTGGCTATTAAAAGCTCAACTTTGATAGACTTGGCTTAAAAGAACAAGGGCAATATTAAAGACTTATCCATAAGGAAGAAGGAAAAATCAAAATGGAATTTGAGTCAGAAAAAATTCACAATAGAAGGGGAACAAAAAAAGGAAAAGAGAGACAAATAATCACCTTTTTATATAAAGCCATTAAATTGGAATCTTCAAAAGGCAAGTAACCAGCCATTAAAATGAAAAGTATCACACCGCATGACCATAGATCTGCCTTAGCTCCATCATAGCCTTTATTGTTGATCACCTAAAATGTAAAAGCACCAGAGATAATGATAAAAATGTTAAGGAATCATTGAAAAAAAAAAAAATCATTTGAACTGAGAATAAAATATACCTCAGGAGCAACATAGTTTGGTGTACCACATGTTGTGTGAAGTAACCCATCATCCTGAATTAAAGGGAGATAATAAGCTATCAATTGTTTCATAAATATATGAGTTCAGAAATGTGCAAATCTGGCCAATGAACGTCAGCCAATCTTTTTGATAATATCACCATTGCAGGTAAGGTAAATACAGAATAAACTATGCAACCAAAATTATCCAATTTTCCCTTTGCAATGAATAAAATACATCTGCCAAGCAGGATTGAACAACAAGCATGCCACTTGGCCAAAAAGCTAATTCCATTTAGAGAAAAAGACACAGTCATGCTGGGTAGTGACAGAATGATAATCAGTCTGCAGTACCATAGGTCTTCTTAAGTCTTAACACATATAAGATGTTGGGATGATCTTCGTTACTTAAATGAGAAGAAAAATGTAGTATGACAAAGACTGAACACTTACTCGAACTTGCTGAGGTAAAGCACTCAAACCAAAATCAGAAACTTTAAGAACTCCATTAGCATCCAGCAGCAAGTTCTCAGGCTGTGAATTATAAGCCACAGAAAAATTATGATCTTATGTAAGAAACTGATTCATCACCTTTAATGCTAGTGCTAGATTAAGTAACTCAGACAAGCTAATGAGAAGGTTAAATATGAACAAAAAAATCCCACACCTTTAGGTCTCTATGGTAAACACCTCTGCTATGGCAGTAATCAACAGCATTAATAAGTTGCTGAAAATACTTTCTAGCTTCATCTTCCTTCAATCTCCCTCTGCTTGCCTGGCTCCACAAACAAAATGCAGAAAAAGCAGACAAATACAGATACCAACTGTTAGTGGACAATGGATACCTGATTCTGCTAGAATGATACAAATTCAAAGTTGATGCAACCATCTTACAATTTTGTCGAAAAGTTCACCGCCAGTCACAAATTCTAGAACAATGTATATCTTTGACTTGCTAGCCATGACCTAGATCAACAATACCACTGGAAGTTAGTAAGAAAAAAATAAATAATATTAATATAGGACCACATAGAAGAGTTTGTTCAAGCTCTATTAAACTTGTGAACATATTTTCTAGGAAACAGATCCAATATCCTAAGGCTAATGAATAAGGAAGATCAAACTAATCATAAATCACATAATCACATTACACAGGGTATATAATGTAAAAAAGAGAAAAGTTGTGGCTAACCTCATACAAGCGGATAACATTTGGGTGTCTAATTAGTTTCATCGTGGAAATTTCACGTTTAATCTACAAAAAAGACAAAATAATAATAAAAATAATAACATTCAGCTTCAGCAAGAAATAAGATAACACAAGGAGCACAAACACATCCAAAAAACGAAAATAAGATCGTATAACAACACTCCAACACTACAAAAAAAAAAAAGTTGTCTTTAGTGATGCCCTCTATTATGACGTTTACATTAAAATTACACTAAAATGGTATTTGTGATGCCTTCTGTTACAATGATTTGCGTTAGAAAAAGGCATCACAATTGATGGTTTTTTTTTTTGGTAGTGCAAACAAGAAATATTGAAGGGAAGTATTAGTTATACGTTAGAGCTGATAACAAAATAATTCACAAAATGTATGCATGAAAAGTCTAGAAATATCTTATCCTACAAACTGTTGTTTTCTCTATCCCAGTAAGCTAAATTTATCGAAATTCATTAAATTCCATAAATTAATTATAAAAGAAAGCTGTATGCTTAATCCAATTAACATTCCCAATTCACAAAATTTTACAGAAATCAAGTCACCTCACAGATAACAATAATTTAATCAGCTAAAATTATTAAAATTTAAAATTAAAAAAAAAAAAAGATTCTTGATGAGTGATTACCTGTCCAATCATCTTATGCTTCAATACTTTCTCTTTATCAAGAATCTTGATGGCAACATTCTCTCCGGTTTCTATATTCCTGGCAAACTTGACCTTGGCGAACGTTCCTTCCCCCAGCGTCTTCCCCAGCTCGTACTTTCCCACACGGGTCCTGCTGCTCCCTCCCGCCGCACGAGACGCCATCCTCTACCGATTCCTTTTTTTTCTTTCTTCCTTCTTGTTAAGTATATTCTCCCTCTCCCTCTCCCTCTCCCACACTCCTGTTATCTTCCTCCTCCTCTCGATCAAAACCTCTTCTTCTTACACGGTTGCCATACCTCAGACTTAGCCACCCTCATTTTCCTTCTTTTTCTAAAAAACCAAAAAGTAATCCCCAAGAAATAAATTCTAGAAACCCTAAAGTACACAGAATATCAAAAAAAAATCAAATCAAATTTATATCAGGACGATGAAAGACGAAAACCCAGAAGAGACAGAAGGGGAAAAAGATAAGAAGCATTTGATGAGACAATGAACCCATGAAAATTGGATAAATCAGAGGTCAGCACCGAAAATTTTCAAAGAAATGGTGGAATTCGTGGAACACGAGAAATGGATTTTGAAAGAAATTGGGAAATGGGTTTTCACGGATCTACAAAGAAGTAAATAAATACTCCAAGAAGTAGAACAGTTTGAGATTGATAGTAAGAGGAAGCCGTGGGGGTTGTGTTGTTGTTGTTGTTGTAGTTGTTGCTGACTTGCTGTTATTTTTGTTTGGGGCGTTAAGTGAATAATTAAGTGCTGAAATCCAAGGCGGCAATAGATGAATTGAGAAAATTAGAATTTTAATACTGCTTCTGTTGTCAAGTGCATATACCGTATACGAGGAAGTTAGGTTCCACACTTGCATTGCAATTTTCTATTTGCAATAATTGTACTTTGAATCATTAAAAGGAGATGACAATCGCAATAGATTATTTTAATATATAAATTAAGAAGATGTTAATAATTTATATAATTTAATAATTTTTTTATTAAAAATAAAAAATTTTAAATTTAAATCATATGTCATATCAACGAAGTAAAATAAAAAATAAGTGATAGTTGTTTTTTATTATATAAATAAGATAAAATATATATAAAATTTAAAGATGTAGTTAATATATTTTTTTATTAATTAATATTAAAAAATAAAAATAAATTTTTTTAATAATTATTTAATTGAAATAATACATGTGATATTAATAATAAAATTAATAATAATTTTTATATTTTTTAATATTAATTAATAAAAAAATAATAATTATATTTTAACTTATGGTACTACAAATACATGTTAGACAGATATCCTTTTTTTTATATTAACTAATAGCGAAAGATATGATAAATCCACTATAGAAAAACCTTTCTCCTAATTCGAGATGGGATCCATGACTTAAGGGAGGACGCTTAGTGGTTGACAATTGAGGTTGACCGCCGACAAACGACAGATATGTATTCTTTTTTTTCTTTTT